CACTTGTGACCCATAGACCATACATGAATCCTGTGTCAGTGATTGCAAACTCACTTTCTTCCAGTTTTTGTCTTGGGGGTAGAAGTGCTAATATCCATATCCAGTGTGTGTCTCATGTATCACAAACAATATCAGCTATGTAGTGAATATTAAAGCTACATAGACTGTCTTGATGTCTGGGATGCAGAAGTGTGGGCTGAATTTCACAATTCCCACCCAGGCTGTTAAGAGGCAGTGTGAGCTAGTGGATAGGGTACTGAGGTACAATACAAGAGATGTGGTCAGTACTATTCCTGGCTCTCCCCATGACCAGCTGGGTGACCTTGGGCAAGTTACTTTACCTTCATGTCTATTTTCCCTCCCACCCTTTGTCTTTCTTATCTTTTTAGATAGAGGGCGCTTTAAGGCAGTGAAAATGCTAGCATGTACGTGGCAGCATGAAAGTCAGGCTGAGGCCCAGATTTTTGAAGGCATTTAGGCATTGTTCCACTCAGTGCTGCAAGGCCTTAGTGACTTAGGAACCTAGGTCTCATTTTCAGAAGTGACAAGCTCTTAAGGGCCATATTTTTAAATGTATATATGTGCCTTATTCTCTTAGAAATCAGTGGGAGTTAGGTGCCTAAATACCTTTAATAATCTGGCTCTTAAGAGCCCAAGTCTTATTGAAAGTCGTTGACATTTAGGGTTGTAAGTGCCTACGTCATTTTTGAAAAAGAGACCATGGCTATGTCTACACTAGAGACCTTACAGTGGCACAGCTGTACTGATGCAGCTGCTTCACTGTAAGATTGCTTGTGTAGCTGCTCTGTGCCGACAGGAGGGAGCTCTGCCATTGACATAATTAAACCACCTCTAAGGAGCGGCAGTAGCTATGTTGGCCAGAGAAGCTCTCCCACCGACATAGTGCTTTGCACACTACCACTTATGCCCAGCGACACTTATGTTGCTCAGGGGGGTGTTTTTTTCACACCCGAGTGACATACGTTTTGCCAGCATAAAGGATAGTGTAGACGTGACCTTAGGCTCCTAAGTCACTTAGATCCTGCAACACTGAGGGCTTGTCTTCACATACAGTGGTGCAGCTGCGCCACTGTAGTGTTTTAGTGAAGACACTACTACAACTGCAGGAGAGCATCTCCTGTCAGCATAGTTAATTCACCTCCCCGAAAGGTGGTAGCTGTGTCGACGGGAGAAGCTTTCCTATTGACACAGCGCTGTCTACACCAGGGGTTAGGTCGGTATAACTATGTCGCTCAGGGGTGTGCAGTTTTTCATACCCCTGAGCAATGCAGTTATACCAATATAAGTCTGCCTGAGCACATAAATACCGTTAAAAATCTGGGCCTGAGGACCTTGTACTACTTGACATCCCAGAGAGTCCACCTCAGACAGAGCAGACCTGCCAGCTCTGTCTGTTTAGCACTGAGATACAGGACTTGTCTACATGAACATTTAGTTAATGGCAAGTGGGAGTGTGACTATGCCACAGATAACTGTCCCTGTGGACCATGTTGACCCACATTAACAGTTCTTTAATGTGCTTTGATCTAGTCCCATTCAAAAAAGACTAGATCAAAGTGCATTAATGAAGTGTTTATGTGCATCAGCAGGGTCCACATGGGCAGTTAGTCTGTGGCAGGGTAGTGTGGGGTAGAGTCACACCCCAGCTTGCTTCAACCTAAATGTTCATGTAGACAAGCCTGCACTTTTTAAAAACAGATTTACAACCTCAGCAGCTCCTGAAGAAGTCCCCTGACTGCTTTGCCTGCACAGGCACCATGCGATGTAATTCTAACCTCTCAGCAATTAATTTGACAAAGAGCCACGTAAATTAAATATGGACACACTAGGCCACAAAAAGGCATCTACAAGACTCAGCACTGCAAACTGGCAGGATAAACTAAGGAGTTAGGAAGAAGAACATAAGAACAGCCATACTGGGTCAGACCAAAAGTCCATCTACCCCAGTAACCTGTCTTCTGACAGTGGCCAATTCCAGGTGTCCCAGAGGGAATGAACAGAACAGGTAATCATCAAGTGATCCATTCCCCGTCGCTCATTCCCAGCTTCTGGCAAACAGAGGCTAGGGACACCATCCCTGCCCATCCTGGCTAATAGCCATTGATGGACCTATTCTCCATGAACTTATCTAGCTCTTTTTTGAACCCTTTTATAGTCTTGACCTTCACAATATCCTCTGGCAAAGAGTTCCACAGGTTGGCTGTGCACTGTGTGAAGAAATACTTCCTTTTGTTTGTTTTAAACCTGCTGCCTATTTTTTAAAAAAGCTAAAGGTAGGAACATACTCTCTTCCTTTACTTTAGGATTTTTAGTACTGGGTTGACAACATGAAGAGCAAAAATTCACACTTGCAAAAGTAGAAAGAAGCACCCATCAACGCATTTTGATCTGACAAAGCCCAAGTCTGTTGACCTTCTGGGTATGGCCAAGGCATTTTTGTCTGCCCCAGCTTTTGCCTGACATGGTGATTATAGGCTTTAGGTTTATCTTTGTCCTGGGGTAAATCTATATAATTATAGGGATACTGATCACTGTATTGTGTATACCGCATTCTGAATTTTCTGCCCAAAGATATTGTGATGTGTACACAGTACCAATCCTACAATGGAAATAAAGAAATGGTTTCCATACCCATGTACTGCGCAGGAGCTGGCACTGGGTGTTAGAAAGCTCTTCAGGGCAGCAGATGCAAGGTTTAAACATAAGGCTCTCATTGTTCTGCTCTCATTTATATCACTGATGTAACAAAACAATTTGGCTCACATTGTCCTACCACAGTAATAGGAGTAACATTTTGAGACAGAACATGGCAATGCAGTCCTCCTGGTTCCATCCAGGTGCTAGGAGGTACCCAACAAGAGAAGCTCTGACTAAGAGAAACTGTCTTGTTGAAAATAAAAGCAGGAGTCGGGGTAAGGGGATTCTGGCCTCCCTAACAAGAACTTCTTGACATCTTGTGAAATATAATGTCCACCACTGCTTTAGACATCACTAACACAGACCCTCCTGAAGACTCATCTCATGCTTGTCCCTCTCAACTTTGTTTCTCATTCCATTTCCAGGGGGAGAGGGGCATGCCAGGGCTGCCAGGAAAACATGGAGCTAAGGTACCCTGCAAGGAATGGAGTGAGCTTGTCCACCTGACCCTGCCCATACCTCTCAACTGTCCCTGACTTTCAGGGATGGCCCCGATTTGGTTTCTACAATGATTTTTCTCACTTTCTCTATCATTTTCTTTCCGCTTCTAAAATGCAAAGCATAGGGCCTAATTTATCAAAGGGATAATAGGGGAGAAAAGTTTTACTGAAGAAATGACATGCCTATTCCCAATGCTACTTCCCATTTTGAGGTCTAATCCTGCAAGGTGCTGAATGTCCTTTATTCCACTGAGATCAGCACCTCCCAGGATCAGACCTGTAATATTTTATTCTAGTGAGAAGTACCACTAATTAGTATTGGTAAGATATCAGCACTTTATAAACTGTGAACATGTATCTAGTGGGCCCAATTTACCCCTGCCAACTCCAGTTTTAGGTATGTGTTATTCCATGGAAATCAGTGAAGTTACACCAATATAAAAATGGAGAATGCAGTGGTGAATCAGAGCCAGTGTGTGTATGTGTTACAGGTTTGAAATTAATATTGGAAAAGATCACTAGACTTATTCATTACAATTTTAAAGTAGAAAAATAAGGAATAGGAATCGCATCAATTCAGTAAAATCTAACCCCCAAAACATGATCTGTACATGATCCCTTTCATGACTCGGGCCCATATTTACTAAAAACTACTCACCTCTGATACATTTCTGAATGCTTTTCCCCCTTTTATTACATAGAATCCCTGATTTCCATCTTCTGTCCTTGTGTTTTTTAGCTTTGTCCCTGATTTCTGTTTCAGAAAGTTGAGAGGTATGATCCTGCCCTTCCCCCTGCTTCACACTTCTCCTTGTTTGAATTTTTCCAAGCTCTTCCCAGTTATGAACTCATTCTCTTCCTTCTTTTTGCCTCTCATCTGCTATGTTAAGTTCCCCAAACCCTCCTGTTAGCTACTTTCTAACCCTGCTTCATCTCATTCTCACCCACCTCCTTTCCTAGATTGTCATTACTCCTCATGTTTGCTTTCATAACTGAACATTTTCACAAGGATCTAACTAGCACTAACACTTAGAATACAAAAATATCTAGTCTGAGCAAGGGAGTGATGCCGAAGTTTTGCTTTTGCACCATTGTCACTGAGGGAAATATAATCATACCCACAGGAGCACCTGCCCCAAGGGTCCAATAAACAACCATCTCAGTTTCCGGGGTGGGATTAGAGTCCATAATTTGGTGTTTTGCTCTGCCGTGCAGAATGACACAAGAATCTGAGTGCTTGAGAGTCTTTTTGCCGGTGATAGCTGGCTTCACAGATTTCCTCTGTAAATCTGATACTCGAGTTTATGTCTTCTGTGGTAAAACAGAATGATGCTGGTTAACAAGACCAAGAACATTTTTTCTTTCTGTTGTCATTGGACATTTTTTTCGGGGACTGTTTTTTAATAAGAGTCTGGATTCAAACATTTAACTAGGTATTTGGTCCTCACATTGTCTCCTTCATCAGTTTCTCAACACTACTCCTATGGGGTCATGGGTTCAACTTCACTAGATTAGCACACCTAAATCTGGGGGAAGGGATACATTGTTTCCTCTGTGCGAGTTGAGCCTGTGATGTCTTTCTTTGGTGGCACAGCCTCCTTGCTATTCTGGATAGCATAGGCACTACTATAGGGAAGGTAATTTTAATGATGCTCCCAGCTTGGGGAACCAGGATGGATGTGTGTGGTAGCTACTGTGTTACAATGTCTCTTCTGAGCTTTGGAAAAGGAAAGACATAGGTTATTTAAAGTTCCTACTTGGCTGATTTTGTTTTAAAGAATATATATTTATATTTACTTCATTTCAAACCAAGTGTTCTCATCTTTCCTCTCTCTCTGCTAGGGGGCTCCTGGAATAGCTGCTGCAGGGATGAAGGTCAGTTTTACATTAAAATGCAGCCTCTTAGGACAGGTCATGGGTAAGAAAGAGGACAAGGGCCATGAGAGGAGATGAAACCTCCAGCCTTAGACTGATGGCCATTAGTTCATGGTAGGAAAGCCATGGATTAAAAGAAAATGGAGACATACATTCATTCTCCTGCCAATTCGGAAAGGGGAAAGCTCAAGCTAAAACAGATATAGAAAATGGCTATCCCTTTTATCAGGGAGAGGCTAGGGCCTGTCTATGTTATAGCTAAATGCTAACTCCAGTGGGAGAATGACTGATCCCTTCCCTGGTCAGCTAAACTATACTTGTTCCAACCCTGAGACTGTAAGAAGATTTCGGTTCTCTTAGTCCCTCAGTTCACTTTCTATGAGACAATGGTCCTCTCTTGGTTTCAGCTCCTCTCTAACCCCATTCTTAACAGTACTTGAACCTCCCTATTTCCATAGCTTTCATTTATTTCCTAATAAACAAAATTATTATTATTATTATATCCCACCTTTTCAACCAATATCTCTGTTTCTCCACTGCATTGGAACCAGATAGATTTCTGCATTAGTATATGCTTAGTGCTCAGATTTCACGGTGACAGGCAACCTTATAAAAACCTAGAAAGATAGGTACAGCCAGATTAGCCGGCTTGAAACAGCCCAGATGAGTTCCAAAACCCATTGACTGATACCAAGGAACAATGGAATGCTCTATCCATGGGCCTAACTTCAGCAGCCTATGAAAAACCTTGGAAGCAACAAGCACTGTCCTCGACTGCTGGTGAAGGCTCTCTCTCCCACTCCCCTTGGCTGGTATAACTGTGTCACCACCAAGATTCCATGATTGTCCAAGGCCTAGCACAACAGGGCACCAATTGTGATTAGTGCCTCTGGATGCTACCGTAATACAAATAATTAGTAATAACAATAGCCGCAGAATCCCCTAGAGCCAGCGACAGCTATACAAGTTGCAGCTCAGGAACAACGTGACTCACCACTAGAAGCTTTCTGAAATTGTGAGAGACCTGGTGGGACTATTCCACACTTCTTGCTAGGACCCCGGGACATACCCTTTAAACAGACAGGTCTGGGAAACCATTTCTTAGGAAACAACTCAAAATGGTCACTTACCTCCCTTTTATTAATGGCATTTTCAGCCTATGGGCTGTACCATATGTCTTCAAAATTAGGATAAAAACAACAATATCCATGTACAAGAATAACCAAGAGAAAAGAAAAACCAAGTCTGTAGTATGCCTTTAAATTTGACCTTATACCCTTATTTCCACAAATCTAAATTCAAATTGAAATCAAACTAAAGCACAACTTTGGCTTGATGCCTTCTTAAATGATCCTTCTCTTTTTTTGAATCTAGACGTGGGTTGGCTGCCCCCTCTCTTCTCTTTCTTTCTCACTGTGTATTTTTCTATCTTTTCCCCATGCAGGGCAAGCCAGGAAATCCACGAGAAAAATATTGCTCTTAAAGGAATAATCATTGGAAATCTGCATTTCCTGGATTTTGTTTACAGGAGCTTATAATTATAAGGAGTTTCCTGGTGTCCTCTGTAAAATGCCATCTCTGCTTCAGAAAAGCAGAGTTGCATTTCTCCCTAACAGAAGAGAGACATGTCTGAGAGAGATTTCCATATTGTAATTAGACTATCTTCTGTCCCCTTCCCTCCCTAGTCACTCAGTGCTCGTGTCTGGGGGGGATATTCCCCTGCTATTCTCTTTCTTTTCTTCTTTGGCCCTTAGGCTATGTGGCAACCTGCTATTCCTGGAGAGTATATTCTCTCCCTGTTCCCCTTGGCTGCCTCTCCCCACCAGCACTTGTGCCTCCTTCCAGGGACATGCTAGTGCTGCAGAGGGAACTGCTGGGGACGCACTCCTGCACTTTTGGCAGATGCTGTATAAATTGGTCCGATGTTTCATGCCCCCTCCTATCAATATGTGTAAAATAGTAAAAATGGTACAAAAATACCCCTGCATTTCTTTCACTTGGCAGCAAATTCAGACAACTGAGCAGCTGGCTCCTCTTGTTTTAGCTTTGACTAGGTTTGTAGTGTTATATTGTAGAGTGTGGAGACCACCAGCCATATAACAGATGTATTCTCTGTCTCTTTTCTTACCAACAAGGGAGAACCTGGAGTTGCAGGGATGATGGGCCCCCCAGGTTTGCCAGGGAAAAGGGGACAGAGGGTAGGACAATGTGTGTTTGGATGTGATTTCTTAGCACTGCTGTACTGGCCTGCTCCTCCCCTATAGCCAAGGCTAAAGTGGGACTGCTTTGCACTATAGTTCCATGCTTGTGGTGGAATGCTCTTACCCCATTGCTGATGCTCTCATCTCATTGATGAAGTGTGCTTTGTATGTTCCTCCTTGCAAAAAATAGAAAGACCAACCCAAAGGGAGAATGAGTGCGTTCTGGGAAGGGAATGAAGTACTGAGCATTAACATTCTCTTGAGAAAGATTTTGTACCTTTTGATTACAGCAATAATAAATGATGAGGAATCTGAATACCCAGAATCAGGAAGGATGTCTTAATGAACATGTATGCACCTCAGAATGTTCTCTGTAAGTTCCTCTGTCTGGGTCCTCCTCTCACTACAGCACATGAATGCTGATTCTGATTCTTGGAGTACAATGAAAAGCAGATATGCTGAACACATAACAGGAGCAGAGTGCTGGAGTCAGAGGAGTCTGGGACACTGGATTATTCAGGAGAGAGTGTTATTTTGATTATCCTGAAAAGGAAATAAAATCTTTACATCCAATTAGTATTCCTTCTGCCAAAGAAGCATAAAAGCCCCTTGCTACCCAAACAAATGCAATTATTTAACAAGACCAACTGCCTGATTTTGTGGGTAATGAATATATCCAGATGGGCCAAGGCCCACCTTCTGTTGTACAGATGCCAAATGAATTGCAGGTAGAAATCAGAGCATCTGCACTTCTAAACACCTGCTTTGTGATTGCAGTCTGGTAAGTATTAGTGGAAGTACCCCATTTGCACTCACGACTGAATTAGGAGTACAAATTTTGCAGGTGCAAATCATGCCCATGAAAAGGATATCACCTTATTGAAAATGTGTCCCTTAAATAGGAAGGGACTGAGAGTATGTTCATTCCTCTTTGAATTGGGGTGTTACCCATGGCTGTTTCTAATGAGCATTCAGTTTTTTTAAATTATTGACTTCTGTTGTCTGCTCTTTAGGTTCTTTTTCACCACACGGTATAGTGTGTCTGCATCCATAAGAGCAGCTTCCTTTTACTGGGGTGTTCCACTTTGACTCAGTGGATTAATATGAACAGTGACATGGCTGGAGATCATAATATTCTGACATCCTAGAGATGGCCAATAATTCAAACTTTTCCTTAGGAAACAAAATCCAGCACATTGGGCCCTTCTCGCTTTTCCAAGGAGAAAATCATTAGCTTGTGGTTGCAAAGTACATGTTCTAACAAGGATGAAAGGCTACAGAGCACTTATACTAAGGTGGAGGTCAGAGAGTCTTGTAAAATGGGTAACTGTGCTGTCTTAGGTGGGATGCAGAGTTGGCTAGAACAAGGATAGTTTTCTTTTAATTAATTCCTGTAGAGCCATATAGTGCATGCCCCTTCTCAGAACACTTTTGCAGGCACCTTGCATGTTAGATGTCAGTCCTTGAACTCTGTTGAAATTCATATACTTGTCTTTCTATAAGATTAAAATATATCAGCCATGCATGCAAGGAAAAATAAATTCCTTATCTCTAATTTTTCTTTCGATTTTGTTGTTGTAATAGAGCCATGCTTGTAGGCTAAGGTCCTGTATAAATACTTTAAAAGGGTCTATAGACCAAACTTCTGAGTTAACCCACCTTAAAAGAGATTCCATGTACCTGTATGCTATTGAGAAATACAGTCAAGTAACTGTTCGTGTGTGAGTTACTCTTTGACAAATTAAAGAGTTTAAATAAATCTAAAACCAAGTATTATCCAATGCTATTGGGGAAAAAGGTTAGGGAAATGGGGACTAATCATAGTAAAAACCATAGTAAAAAAAAATCATTGTCATCATCATCATCTATAAAAATTACTAACTTTGGTGAACTAACAATTGGAAAGAAAATACCTTTTCTCTAGTGGTAAGTGTTATTGTACTAGAGACATTCTCTTAGAGACTAAAATGATTGTAAACTACAGCAACCAAAACCCTGTCAGCTGTTTAAATAGCGCCTGTTGTACAAGCAGCTCATCACGTACGGAAATGCTGGAGATAAGGGTTTGGTTTACAGTTTGCATCCTGTGGACAGATTATTACAGGATCTTAATCAGAACTTAAAAGGCAGTAAGTGAGCCAATTGTGGCACAAAAATTCAAAGAGATGTGCCTTGTACCGGTGGCTTCAGGCACACAAAAGAGATGACTGCAAGCTAAACAAAGTCACTTCACAAAAACAGCCATGGGGTGGTCTGTGTCTGTCCTTTACTCATTTCAGTGAGGAATTTATCCAGAATCTGATTATACCTCTCACAACTCAGTTCAGTCAGACTACTCCTCTTGCTGGGGTCTTGACAGCTTAGGGGTCACGACAAGGATGGCCTATCTAGTCCTCTTCTGACCTTGTAATTTTTCCTCTGACAATTGACACCAGCCACGGAGTGACCCCAATAGCATCTTGTGTGAAAATGTCTCTCTTACTTGATTCCATGCGACCATTTGTATCTTGCATTCACTTTCAAACATTCATTTGCTGCATGAAAGGGACTAGCAACAACCCATGTGTTCTACAGAAGGAGCATGTGTGAATTAACAACACCAAGCACTGCCCATCTGCAATGAGTTTGTTGAGTTTTGGCTGTTAGAACAAGGAGGAAAATACATAATCAAAGTGCAGGTTTTAAAGTTCAAAATGACCTTTAACTTAGTAGGGGACCATTGTACAGTGGCCTTTAAATGCTAAAAGTTTCATAGAAAGGAACAGACAGTAGCACGTACTGGCTTTCTAAAACATAAGGTGAAAAGATGTCAGAGATAAGAGAAAATGATGACACAGTTGAGCAGGTACTGAAGGCAGGGAGAAAACCTTGGCTGCCTCTTAAAAGGGTGTCCCAGAGGGAAAAGAAGAGTTTTAGGAATGTTTGCTGTATTGTATCAGATGAGCTCTATGGATTCAGTAGCACTTTCACTGATCCCACAAGTAATGGAAGCCCTTAAAGCCACCCCCTGACCATTTCTGTCTTTCACCAACAGGGGGAGAAGGGAAGAGCTGGTGATCCCGGACTTCCTGGATTCCTAGGACAGAAGGTTTGTAATGTTCTCTGACTTTTGCCACACTTTTCATCCCATTTTCCTTCCCCTAACAAGGAAGCTTGCACTCACGTGTACACAACTACCTAAACTGTATGCACATGTGCTTGCATACACACTTACACATATATATGCACACACACAAAAATACACTGAATACTATCACCTGTACTCTATCCTAGAGATGAGAGAGGGGCAGGCTCTGCAGATAATATGAACATGATTCCATGGCCAGTTCCATGTCGACAGGAAGAACACAGCACATTTCTCACCCTACCTTTATGGTACCCCCCTCTTCAATCCCTGCAAGCTGGCAGTTTCAAGACCAGTCCCAAGAGCAGCTGGATCCCATTTGATTTAGATTAATAGCCTTATTTTCATTTTGTTATGTAACTTTTTTTAAAAATACCCAGCTACCTAGCGTGAAAATTTGATTTATTTCAACCCAAACAAAACACTGGGATCCAACCAGAAATAAAACATTTGGGGTCAAACATATTGCTGGTCTAACTGGGTGCAACTCCATTGATGGCACTGGAGACACAGCTGCCTGTGACAGTGATAAATTTGGTCTACAGAATAGGAGGAATGAGTGGTTTAGGGGATTGACAGGAGAATACAAATCCTTTTATCTTTAGGATATTGGCTCACAAATCGTGTCCAGATCAGTGATGACTAAAATGCTCCTTACCATCCAATGGCTATTTGATGCTGTATATAAAACAAGAGGCTGGTTTCTGTACAGCTCCCAGTGCATGTCACACACACGCCCCCAAATGCAATTACAACTGGCACTAACTCTTCAGCAGAGAGCCAATGGACTGAATGGGCCGACCTATTGCACTATTAGAATGGCCATTATAGAAAAGGACTGAGACACAGTGGCAGAGCAATGTGGGGAAGCCTGTGCTAGTACTGCCAATGCTGTATCTGTTTTGTGACTACAGAAAGGATTTCAGTCTCCAAAGCTGTCAGATGAGTTGATGGAGAGGTGCCAGCAGGTCAAAAGGGGTGGGGCTGAAAGGACTGATGGATTGGGGCCGGAGGAAGAGTATGGAATGAATGGATTTTGTGCATGATGGTGGGAGGATTGGGGGTGTTTTTCAAGCCATGTCACATGTGTCACTGACTGAGGTGGAGAATTTTTGAGGGAGCCCCTTGTTTCAATGTTGCCAACACGCTGCTGACTGAGGGTGTGTCTACACTTGGAGCTGGGGGTCCGATTTCACGAGCTCACATAGTGTAGCCATGGCACCACAAGTGGTGGGAGGGGCTAGCCTCCCTGGGTGTGTGCCCATCAGACAGTAGGTGGGTACTCAGGGAGCTTAGCTCCTCCCGCTGCTCGTGCTTCCATGGCTACATTCTATATCGATGAGAGCCAGTGTGAGTATGTCTCCTCACGTGGGGAGTCAGGCATGAACTGCATTGGCAGAACTGTGTACGGGCACAGAAGTCCAGTAACAGGAGGGGCTACAACTCCAGATGCAGCGGCATGGGGAGAACCCCTCTCTAGCCAGTTTTATCAGTCTCCAGTTCTCAGCTTTAAAATTCACCAGTAAACAACTAAGTAAAATGCAGCCAGGTTCTTCAGTATCAACCTTGTCCTGCTTCCCCTGATCCCAAAACCACAACCTGGCTGGTGAAGTTACAGAATGAGAAATTGATTTAACTGACAGTGGATTATTCCTCCTTGAACCAGGGAGAGAAGGGAGATGCTGGCAATGCACTCGGGGGAGGTAAAGGGGAACCCGGACACCCGGGACTACCTGGGCCTCCAGGACCAAAGGTGCGTCTCTTTCCTCCAATGAAGTCTGTGTTTCCTTTTTGCATGAGAATGTACCTAGCTCAGGGTATTTAGGAAGGGGTTGAAGTTTGCATTTGTCTGCACCTGGCTATAATTATGCACTGTGGAGATTTCATAAGCTAGCCAGCTCCTGCAGAGTTCTTTAGTTTGTTATTTTAAATGCTGAAGGTCAGAAAATTTATGAACTGCATTTCCTGGGGAAAAAAATCTACCTGTGTTCAAATGATTTCCCTATAGGGTCTGTAAGCAAACAGTCCCTCAGAATCACTGCCAGCATCTGGTGCCATAGATGGCAGCTGGGACAGGGTGAACATTGTGATCAGGACTCGGAACCTCCTCTCCTGCTGTATTCCTGCCTAGAGAACTAGCAGCCCTCAAACCATACCTGATAGCAGAGGATGTTTAGGACACTTAGGACTAGTTCCATTCACCGTGCAGTTAAGAGATGACCCATTGGTCCCAGTTCATACCACCCATTCACTTTGTAGCCCCTTAGCCCATGGGTAGTGTAGAAATGGGAAGTCACCCCAGTGCTCTGAAACTCCTAAAAGAAATCTGGGTATGACAGGTCTACCTGAGCTAGTGGAATGCTTCCTATCTGAAGTGCTGTCAGGTCTAACCACTGATCCCAGCACAGCAATTGCTAGAATCGCTCCTTTCTGCTCATTTATATGAATCTGTTGCTTTTCTCTTTTTTCCTAGGGGGAAGCTGGTGACATTGGCCAGACTGGCATTGCAGGACCGCAGGGGGAAAAGGTACAGAGGAGGAGGAAAGCACAATAGGGAATTATGGCTTAGCAGAGGATTCCAGGCCAGGGAGCGCAGTTACAGTGCGGCAATAGGAAAATTGTTTCACAATACAAAAAACATCCCTTAAACTATACCTGATGGCCACAGCCAGTCATTAAAAGAAACAATAACTTTCTCCGTACACACAACATTTTCTGCAGGATCTGCACATCCAAAGCAATCAGAGCAGTATTAATCAACAGGCCCACACAAGCCTGGGTCTGAGGTGCAACCGTATTTGCAGGAAGAAGGCAAACAAGCTGCAGTGGGAATGCCCAAGCAGGCAGGGAGACTCTGAGGATTGGCCAACCAGCCCACACCTAGCAACTGCAGTTATGTAATACAGGAGCTATGACATCATGCTGGTCATCCATAGCTGTGGATTGGCGGGATGGAAGGAAGGAAACAAACCCAGGATAGGAAGTGTGGAGCTAGAAAGGAGAAGGCTCTGGGAAAAGAAAGGGTTGTAGCCAGACTGACTGACTCTCCCAATATGTCAGGGAGACTCCCATTTGAACCCAAAACTCCCGACTCCCGATTGAATAACATTATCGCCCCCATAAAACTACATTGCCCAGAATCTTGTGCGTTAGCCACACACACACATCAGTCTTTCTCTCCCTGAGTCAGCAAGAGAGGCTGAGGCACATGTGCACCTGATGCACAAGATTCTGGGTAATAAGGCTGACTTCTGCTCTGCTTCTGGCACTGGGAGTGCAAGGGGGGGGGGGTTGGCTGGGTTTGGCAGCCAATGGCAGGGCAGGGAGGTAGATTTGGTGTGATGGTGATGCAGAGCTGAAGCAGTGCAAAGTGGTGGCTGGACAATATATCAAGGAGGGGTTCATGCCCCATTTTCCCCAGGCCTTGGCTGCAGCAGAGAGGGGGTGAATGAGGGGTTCAGAGAGGGGAACATTCCCACTCAACCTGGGACTCAGCAAAGCAGGGGGGTTGTAGTTTAGGCGGTGGGGGGGAGGGGATCATGCCCCATTCTCCCCAGGCCTTTGGGTGCAAGAGGAGGGCTAACACCCCTTCCAGACCCAGGACTGGGCACAGCAAGGGGGGGGGCTGCATGGTTCTGTTCTGCTGCAAACACCCTGACAAGAGTGAATGTCTTGTCTCCACTTCCCCAGGTGTAACTGTGGGCCTGTCTTCCCAAAGGCCGCCTACGGCTGAGCTCATTATAGCCTGGCCAGGGCAGGGTCCTGTAATTCTGTTTGCCTCACTGTGTATGCTCCAGAGTACAAGGCCCTGGGCGGGGGGACAGGGAGACTGAATGAAGGTATGAGTGGGGGAGCAAAAGCGTGGCAGTGGGGGTGTTGGTGGGGCTGGAGCAGGGGCAGTGAGGCTTGGGGGGTGTGGGGGGGGGGGTGGAAGGATGCAGTGGGGGTATTTGGTGGGACTAGGGGAGGGGAGGGGCAGGATGCTCCCTGAAAGTAGTTTGAAAATGTTGGCCACTATGCTAGTGAGACAAGGAGGGCTGAAAGGCAGGGCTCCTGGGATCTGGGAGGAAAGGGGAGGGGTCTAGTGGGTCAGAGCAGGGGGGACCTTGATGGGACTAGCAGGAGAGCAGGGTGCTTCCTGAAATCCATTTGAACATGTTGTTCAGTACCACTGCAGCACAGCGGAAGTGCTTCTTTCAAAAGAGGTGTATCAAGAACTGGGACTAAAGGGTTAGGAAAATAGGAGAAGATGTACAACATTTTAAGGCTTATAGGGTCTCCCTTGGCTGACCTAGTCCTTTGAACAATCTTTTCAAACAAGCAGCTTCTGGGGGAATGTGCTGAATAAAGAATATGCTAGACAGTGTTGTGGAATGGTGATAGTAGGACATAAACTTAGCTCAAAAATATGTTTTTCCAGATCCCTCTAGTATGCTGAAATAGTAACTACTTCTTTAAAGTCACTCCAGGTTGTACACTGCAAGTAGAAAAAGCAGCTTAATTACAACAATAAGTGTTTTTGGCTGAACGTCCTGAAATAAGAAAAAGAAATGGGGGTTATACGTATCTGAGGCGAGAAGGGTCTCTTCGATTGGAAAGCTGTATCTTCATTAATCAGTTGATCCTTGTTTGCTTTACCTCCTAACATAATGATGTAGCACTTGTGACTGTGTTTAATGGTCGCTCCTGAAACGTGAGCTTTACAGTCTCATTTGAAGTTCAAACAAGATGTCAGCTTATCATGTACAAGGCACTTGTATGTAGTGTCTACGTCATAGTATTGAAGAATGCTTCTCTTAAAAGAATATTACAAAAGGCCACATACACAATGGGAATTGTCCATGAAAATCCTGTTAAGGCAGCTGAAGCACAGAGCATCACTCTGGCTGTAAAGCAGGGCTCCAATGGGATAGGATGTCTAAGGATAAAGAATGAAATTTGTAGGAGGATCAAAGACTTTAGTGTTATTCATCACCAACAAAATACCAGCTGGCCACTCCATGTTCATCTCCCTGACCTGAAACAATCAGCTTTGTCTAGTATCAAACTTCTCAATACAGAGAATTTTAAACACTGCTAGTTTGGATTGCTATTTGGTGGTGGGAGATATGTTAGACAGGAAAAGCCGACAAATATCCCTGGTAATGTTATTGAACAATAAAGGCATTTCTAGTCTTTGCTTTCATTAATGTGTACTACCTGCTTGAACCACCTCTCCTGGTGTGTTTTTCACATTCTGATTTCAAGTGCCCCCAAACATTAGATTGTGACTTCTTGTTTTACCATTCCCCCTGTCATCTCAACAGGCTGTACCCAAGGTCCCTGTACTGTGACCATTCTGAGGCTAGGTCTACACTACGGGGGGGGGGGGGGGGGTGTCGACCTAAGATACGCAACTTCAGCTATGTGAATAGCGTAGCTGAAGTTGCGTATTTTAGGTCGACTTACCTGGCTGTGAGGACGGCGGCGAGTCGACCGCTGCCGCACCGCCGTCGACTCCGCTTCCGCCTCTTGCCACGGTGGATTTCCAGAATCGACGGCAGAGCGATCAGGGATCGATTTTATCACGTCTTCAGTAGACGCGATAAGTCGATCCCCAATAGATCGATTGCTACCCGCTGATCTGGCGGGTAGTGAAGACGTGCCCTGAGTACTGGTAACCATAATCAATTTCCCGTTTTGCTATTCTTTTTTCGTGACTGAACATAGTCACGTCTCACAGCCGCACTCCTGATCACAGAACTATCATTTTAGTCTGTGCAGTACATTCCATCAGCAATGGAAGAGGGAATGTCAAAGTCAATATACTAAGACGCAGACTGGGGCCTAGGCTAGGGGCCTGCACAGGAGCATAAGTGGCAGTAGGAGTGCCCCATCCCCACGTGTCTGAGTGCCTGCCCTGGACCTTGGGCTCAGAGGCAAGTGGCAGCTGAGCACCTGCTACTCTCTCCTCAAGCAAGTGGGTAGGAAGAGGTGGAGAGGGAGCAGAGATTCAGCTCTGTCATTCTTGAATGCGCTGGCCAGCACAGTGGGCCAGCATGAGGTGTGGGGGCAGTAATTTGCTACTGGTACAGGTCTGTAGCAAATTACTATCCCCCACTGGGGCAAGGAGAGAGCAGGGAAAGAGAAATCCTTCTGCAGGGTAATTCTGGGGTGACACAGCTATGCACTGCCCCTTACACAGGGTCAGTATATTGCACAATCTAGCCCTAAATCATTTCAAAGTTGCAGCAAAAAACTCCAGACCTTTGATAATGCAATGTATTGTTACAGGGAGAACCTGGAGCACCCGGAGAACAGGGGCCTGTTGGTCCAAGGGTAGGTGCTACTTCACTGACTAATAAAGGGGCTTCATTCATGAAAATATAAGAAATTTTAGAAAGAGCAGAAGACTACTTGTCCCATTTAAATGGCATCCAGACTGTTTTGCTAGTGTCTTACCAAACTCCTTTATCATGATTAACTGGGTTTATAGCTCGTTTGTATTGCCATAGTAGGGGAAAGCAGCTAGAGCATACTGATTAATCTGACCCACAGAACCTAAGAGCAACCAGTTTAGCAACACTCTTTGTACTACATGCTGGAGTCTTCCCACCATAAGCACTTCCCCACAGCTGTATTTATCAATCGCTCCTTGAACGGTTTTAACTTAGAAGAATTCAGACAACTCAATTTTGCATGGGAACACCAAGTCCTGACTGGAGATCTGGTTCATTTTATAGGGTCCCAAAGGGGAGCCAGGAAAGGATGAAATGGTGGATTATGATGGTAACATCAACGAAGCTCTACAGGTGAGAAACTAGCCTACACGGCTCAGGAGCCATGTTCAGTGACTTCTGGAGTGGATTGTTTGGTTGTTTTCCATGTGAAGCTTTCTCTCAGTCAGATTGGTTCATTCTCCCTTTGCTTTGTAGTGACAGAGAGATCCCCAGGACTACACTTTTTAGTAGCCTAGGTGATGGAAGAAGGGTGGGGCCAGGGGAAGAGAATGTCCCCTTGGAAAGACAGAAAATTTAAGAACGTTGATCTCACATTTCATTTTGGATGGATAAAACTAAGCATGTCAGTCCAGCCCAACATACTTCTTCTTCCATACTAATAGCAATGAATAATGCTTATTACTTATACAGTGCAAGTCCTTTACAATGACACAGGACACATTCTTAATAAAGACAGACCCAGAGTTCATCTGAACTCCCTCATAAGAATAACCCAGAACATACACATTAGATTGTGTAGAAAAAGGCCATAAACCATGCAGGGAAATGTCTTTCACTCTAGACTAGTCATGCACCTACCAGTGGAAGATTACCCACAACTTCTACCATCCAGCCTTCCTGGCAGCCCCCCAGTGCTCCCAGCACAGAAGGAGTACATTTCTGGAATACTATTACAAAGGGAGCTGGGGCTACTTTTCTGCTTATTTTATTTTCATGCCTGTAATATACTCCCTGCCCGTCTTAACCAGTATAGTGTTAAAAGAGAAAAAAAAAAACCCACAAACACTGTGGTCAGAAATAGTTTAATTTCAAGTGGGACTTTTATTTGTATTTATTTATTTATTTTAATTTTTAGGAAATACGAACCTTGGCCCTGATGGTGAGTTCTTACTCTTCTCGCTGTGCATTTTGTTTTTTTGAAGAAGTAACTGGATTTTAGTAACAGCTAGAGGAAAGTAGGCAGTGATACAGACTGACAAACTTTTAATTCCATGCCACAAGAATGTCTGACCTTTACAGTTATGTGCTGACACTAAAAAGCAGCAGTGACAGCTAAAAGAAGGACACTTCTTGTGTTATACTCCTGAGGCTCTTCTATTATTAGTACTATTTGTTTACCTGCTTTGTAAAGGTTATGCTGCTGTTCAGGCGCTCAGACAGCAGAGAGGATCAAAGTAAGGAAAGCCCAGTGCAGGTCAGGATGGGCCTAAGTCGTGCTGTTTTCACGGCCAGTGAAAGTCTCCTCTCTTAAGCATGTCCTTCCCTAATACCAGGGATGTATGATAGCCCAGCATTGTTTCTCCTGGGAGATAGCCATCAATATTAATCCCACTTGAGGGAGCAATTTAACATGGGATGAAGAACTAGGTCCATTATCAGACACACATAGCTGTGACCTTTAATATGTAGCAAACAGATACTATGATGATGTGCACATTAGGAACTTGCATATCAGCCAATGTTTCCAAAAGTGGCTTCTTATTTTGGGGGCTTCCATTTTTGAGTGCCCACCTTTATGACAACATGCATGTCTTAAGCTGGGTACCGAAAAATTGAGGCACTTTTGAAAATTACAGGTAAATAAATCATTTCTACCATTGATAAATTTGTGATACTTTGTCACTTAATTAAATTTAACCTACACTGGAGAACTCAGAAATATAGAATTTTCCTGCTATCTGTGTTCTCTATTTGGATACCAGATTTCTACAAGCAGAATGTATTTATTATCAATAGCAAATAATTATTTAAATTCACTTCATTATCAGAAGCAGATAATCAAAAATGCCATTTTCATGGTAATTATTTTTCGTTCATCAAGCGGAGAAATAAATCTATGGTCATATTTGACTTTGAATTGCTACTGTTGGTTATTCAGTAGCCCACTGTTAGTTATTCATTTTCCAAGTTAATATATTTCAGGATTGCCAGTGCAAAAATGTAAAGAAAATACAATTCTGCCTTCCCTCCAATATGAGGAGGTTTTGAAAAAAAAAAGTGATTTGTGTATTTTTCTTATTTAGGGACCTCCTGGACTTCCAGGAGTAGCTGGGCCCCCAGGGCTACCAGGACAGAAGGTACCACTTTCCCTTTGTCATTCATGAAAAGATAACTAGAAATGCATGAGAATCAAAGGCTGGAATACTGATGCTATTATGCTCTTTGTCCACCTGCATCACCCATGACATTCTGCAATCCTTCTCCTCCTTTCACCTTGCACATGCTCTGTTATCATTTCTTTGCCTTCTCCATATCTCGCATTCCTCCCACAATGACCAGGCATGGCCTTGTCTCAAGGAAGGAGAATGCTTTCTTACTCCCACTGTCCTTCAAACAACTGCATATTAGAGTTAATCTCATGCATGGTTACAGTGTAGTCCAGGCCATGAACTGCCAATCAGCATGAACAACTATAGTGGAGTTAATCACCCTTAAAATTCTGACATTGTTTTGAGCCCTGCCTCTTAAGCATTTGCAGCCTTTCTTTTTGTGGTTATTGGTAATGAGTAACTAGCTCTCCCAGAGAGAGTCATTGCTGTTGACTGTTTCCATAGCACAAGCCCCATCTTCCAGTTTCCAAGCCCCATGTAAAAATAGGCAAAATAACAATTTAAAAAAATGATCTATGATGATTTTGCACTTTAGGGTGAAATTGGTTTACCGGGTCCTCCTGGACACGATGGCGAGAAGGTAAGATGAGGGATGCCATGTGTAGATGAGAGTTATGACTCTTCTCTGTTGCTGGATTTGGGAATTTAATGGCTGATAATAACTGGAGCTAGTCAACAATGGGAATATTTTTTCCATGAACACTTTTCTAACTCATCTCTCATTTGTACCAAATTTACAGCAATGTATTGACCTTAAAGGGCGTTGGATCAGACCCCTTAGTGCTTTGCTGGACTGGGGTCAAAGTGCTCAGCAGCTAGCAGGATAGAGCCCTAAATCAGTAACTATACGGTCTCCCTTTTTCTCAGTTTCACTCAGATAATTGTTGATACATGAGCTCTGCCTCTGCCCTTAACTTGACACCCAAATCCTCCTCCATGCATCTGTGGAGAAAAATTGCACAGAGCAGAGCTTTGTGGTATAGAATCTCCTCGAACAACTTCTCTGAACTGCATGCAAAAGTGTCAAATAGCAAAACCACAGCAGTTCCAGTACTTTTCTAGTATCAGGAGGTAGCCATGTTAGTCTGTATCCACAAAAACAACAAGGAGTCCGGTGGCACCTTAAAGACTAACAGATTTATTTGGGCATAAGCTTTCGTGGGTAAAAAATCCACTTCTTCAGATGCAACTGAAGAAGTAGGGTTTTTACCCACAAAAGCTTATGCCCAAATAAATCTGTTAGTCTTTAAGGTGCCACTGGACTCCTCAGTACTTTTCTAATGAGCCTTATGTAAACGTGGTGCATTCTGCCCCTTCACTCATACACATACATTTCTTTTTTACTGATGACATGTCACAAATGTTTTTCCCGTGATTGATTGAGTGTTTACACTAAAAAACAACAACAAAAATGATTTTCACTCTGCAAAAACGAAAATTTAAAGAAAAAAATTCAGGAATGTGACAGCAAAATTCATCAGATGGTTATAAGATGACCATGCAATACCCAATATTAAAATAAAATCAGCAGATTTGAAGATACTGCTTATAATTTTGGACTTTTATTCACTACTTCATAAAATGTTCATTCACCCCAAAAATGTTGATAAAAGAAAAGGGCAAATTTCACATTACTTGTCAATGGACAAGAGGGGAATATTGTCTAATGACATCTACTCATATGCTAAGCACTACCTCTATGTAAACCACCATGCTGTATTTTGTAATAGAGCGAGAGGGACTAAATCTCATTTATACTAAGCCTCCCGCCCCCATATTCCTCTGTGAATTACATTTGCTTACACTCACTGTAAGGCTCCATTACACTGCCTGAG